GCAAATTTTCAAGCATATTTAGGGACAAAATTTGTAAAGGACATTTTCGTCCTTATGCACCAAAAAATGTATTCTGTTATAATTTTACAGAATTTTTTCTTTTATATGATACCCATATTGTTATCCTATATCGCACTGAATTAAAAAAAAAAAATTTGTAGTACTCTTATTTTTTCAAATTTCAAAGTCCTTTAAAAAAACCATTCTAACGTCAGAGAGAAAAACTATGTATGCAGTTTTACTATAATTTACCCTCTTTCGTACGCCTATTTTTTAAATTTAGCGGGTTTTTTAGTAAATTTTTTTTTTCTCTCAGTGCAACCTGCTGAGCATTTACAGTTTTGCTCAGCCCTTGAACTTTTTATTGTGCTTTTCTGTAATTAAAATAAAATTGTATGCTACTGTTCGAACATAAAATAATTAATAGCTTTGAGGCGTGTGAAAAATTGCATTTTTGCTTTGTATAATAAGCATGAAATTTAGTTTTTTTATTCTTCTTTTAATTGCAATTTCAATTAAAATTGATTTCATTTCTGCATATTTTTCGAATTTAATAATTTTACATTTATTTGCAGCAATTCCCTTGCATTTTTCCAACCAGTTTGTGACACTCTGATTTGTTTATTTTTTTTTCGATTGTGGCATTGGTCACTTACTAGCTAGGCACACCTGCATGCCGCAAGGCAACAACAAAAACATGAACAACACATGCATAACTTCTACCCACCTATGTATGTATAAACTCCGTAGTTGCTGTTTGCCGTTGACCTGCTGTTGGCGATTGTGGCCCCTCCAGCAAGTAACAACAAAAAGTCGGCGTCTAAACGATCACCTGTTTTTGGTGCTCGAATGAGTGCTTAGAGTAGGAAATAAAATACTGGAAAATAAATTAGCTTTTTGCCTTACATTTTTTGCTCAACTTTTTTTTGGGGCAATTTCCGGCGCGTGCTATATGCATTGCTATACTTCTGAGTAGGCGCAAAGTTGCAAAATATTTGGAGAACGCAAAAGGCTATGTTGTCTATCTTTAAGATATATCTATGATTTCTTTTTCGCCTCTTCGCCTCCTGGCATTATCGGTAGATAGCTTCTTGTACATAAACTATTTTTAACTGTGAGAACTGACTCGGTTTAGTCCTATTTGCCACTGTTTCGCGAGTATCTGCTTTGGGTGCTGCAATTACTATAATCTTACAGTGTTGGCTGCCTTAGGTGCAGAAAACATCAGCAAAATTACTTTTGACCACCAATTTGCAATTACCGATTTAACGATTGTGTCGATACTGGATAATTTACGCGGCGAAGTGAGTAAGCTGTCGCCAAACAGCCAGTCGTTTAGGAAACTGCAGCAGCGATTGCATAAAAGCTACTACATACATACGTTTATGCAGCTGTGCATTCTGTGTTTGTGCAGACATACATACATATGTACATATTTCCTATTGCGAAAAATAGAATGAGAAAAGCTGCGCTAAAAGCACTTCCAATCAATTAACGCTTAATGGTTGCGCTTTAGCAAAATACCGCTGCGGCAGTGCCAACAACAGCAACAACAGCAGCAACACTCGAATGGCCGGGGCCAGTCGAGCAGTCAGCAAGCCAGCCAGCCAGCCAGCTGGGCGCTGAATACCAAGCGCGCTGGGCTAAAAAGTGCGAGCTGTGCAAAAAATGCTACAAACTCGACGACATGACAACTTGACAGTACGGCGACTGGCTGCAGACTTTTTCATTTGGTTTGCCCTGGCGGCCATTCGTTTATTTGATCATTTGGTCAAACGTTCTTTAGCAAAAGGTGGTATATATGTACATATTTGCATACCAATCCAACAAAATACGTGTTTTTTTTGTTTGTTTTTATTTGTATTTGTATTTTTATTAAGTCTCTTAAAGTTGCTGGCTCATTCATTTGTTAAAGAAACGGTAAATAAGCTACTGTTATTTTTTTATTTTTCTTATACGCGGCTGGCTGCAGCAACGTAATTTGCATTCAACTTTTCAGTTGGCTGCTGTGTTAAAAAATGTGCAGAATTGGATGAATTGAAAATGCAAAAAAGCAGAAATTCCACATTGAAACTGCAAACATACATATGTACATATAAAACGAATCATATAACGGCAGCCATAGTAATACATATATTATAGTAGCAACAACAAGCTGAGGCCAGCACTTTTCAAGGCAACTGACACAACAACAAAATAACAACATTGCAATTTAAGTTTACAGCAGCCATTTACAGCGGTTTTCTGCGAATAAACTCGAAAAAAAATTAAAAGCAATCAAAAAGTGCATTAATTCGCTTCGTCGCCACGTTTCACTCGCAAATACACAACTAATTTATTTCCATTTTATTCGGCTGCATTTTTTGCAATTTCTGCTTGGTTTATTGTTATTTAGCGCTTAAGCTCCAACAAACCATACCATATGTCTCTGGAACGTGCAATCGCCGCGCATGCGCAGCCGCACAAGATCAGGTCCAGCGCGCGCAAGCACAGAAACAGCTTCAGCTAGGACCGCGGTCACTACGCCAGTGAACACGAACGGCTAGCAGGTTCAAGTAGCCACACAATTTCGAGCCACATACAAATATGCTTTATATTCGATGGGCGCGCGCTGCAACAATGGCGACCGCGCCCGCTGCAAGACTGCAAGTTCGCTGCAGCGCTGCTGAATTGTCGTGTTATTTATCGCCGATAAATACAAAATTATGTACATTTGGGGTGTTTGTCAAGTTTATGTGACAGCCAGAAATGTTCGGCGATTGCAGTCGCCATAAAATGCACTCTTGGGGATAAAGGAATGGGCGGTGCAGCGTGCAGAGCTCCATTGAAAGCTCAATTCATTGTTCGCGACAAGTGACAAATGTACAAAAAATTCCACGGCAATTGAATACTCTTAAAGTACCTAAGTTTTTAATTTTCGTTCTTTTTGCTGGTGCGCATTTGGAAATTGAATACAATTTTTCGGGCGCGCATGCCCAATTTTTCGGTTTGGTGATTTATACAAAGCCTTCAGAGTCAGCAAAGAAAGGAATGACTATAAAAAAATCATAATTCTGTGTATGGAAGCACAGAAATCCCCAGCGACATCCTGCTTAGCTCGTGAAACTGTTGCCGCAGCTGCTCGGCTTTTGTCATTCCTCAAACCAAAAACACATACCTAGGAGGTCAACCTTAAGGCGCTCGGCAGTTAGCTGCTTGCAAAACAAATACATGCGCGTTAATTTACCTTCGTGCGACAACAAAATCTAGAAAATGGGGCAACTTTTGTTCGTAGACAAAGGAAAATTGCGCAGTTGTTGCCTTTGTAGCCTAGGTAGCGAAGAACTTCGATAGTGCCAGTTCTCAAGCAAATCGAATCACGGGCTGAGCTGAGCCTCTTTGAAAACTTTCATACTCGCGCGCAGCAACCCTCCTCTTCTGAATGCTTATATGTACATATGTAAATGTGCATAAGTATGCGTGTCCTGACTGTCACGTGTGACATAAAATTCGCATAATAATACGTTTTAGTGTTGCCAGTTGTCAATTGTCAGACGAAGAATAGCAAATAGCAAATAGCACATGTGGAAAAGCAAATGGCAGCTGCGCGAAATTCAACAAAAAGTGGGGTTTGGGGCGCTTAAATGCATCTGCAATTTGGAAAATTTGCTACTGGCACGCTACCCAACCACCCAACTAGCTATTAGCCATCCCACTTCGCCCCTACCCGCGCCGCCTCATTGGTACATAATTATGGGTTGATAGTTGAGTTTCGTGTGATTTGCCGCCACACAGTGTAGAAAATTCACTTTTTTTGGAACAAAATCAAATCAAATTTTTGTGGTGAGGAATTCAGAAAATATAGTCTTTAAAATATACTTCAAAAATAGTAGTTTTTTTTTTTGTTTTTGACCTAAAGTAGATATGCATAGAACTTAAAAAAAAAATAAAAACCGAAAAACGCATCTTAATTTTTTTCTAGTTTCTTCACATGTAAAAAATTTTACTTTTACAACTTAAAAAAAAACTGTAATTTTTCTTGAATTCTACATCTTAAAAGTTTTTAAATGCGCTTACATTTATTTCGCTACCCGTTCACGTTCTTGAGATATAACATTTCATCACAAAAAAAAGTTAATTTTCCACACTGTGCGCCGCTGAATACCCGTATTAGTTGTTGTTAAAGTAATTTTCAGTTGGCGATGCACTTGGATTGCTGTCGCTGTTGCTTTGATTAAGTGCAACATTAGTAATGCTTAATTTAAATTGTGGAAATAAGCACACAAATCAGCGCACAATCAACTCGACGTTGAGTGGGTCGTCAAGCATCGGGCTACTGCGCTGTGAGCAACTTTAAATTAAGCTGTCGCTGAGATCGTTGTGCTGAAAAGTTGTGCAAATAAAATTGTGTCATGTCTTGAGAATTGGCCAACAAAATGCGAAATTCCATTGGTGTAGAAATTTATTTAGGAAAGTATGCCATTTTCTTATGAAGCCAGAGGACTCCTATTGCGATTTACCACATACACATACACGTTAAGTTGCACAGAAATATTGGTTGCCCAATAGACTACATCGGATACGTGATAAATATGTATGTAGTCTTATGCGGGATTTCCACCAGGTATTTAATGGCATAAATTTTAATGACAAAGTTGGGCATTAAATTCGTGTATTTACGTTTCGTGTCATTACGTTAAATAATACTCATCAAATTCATTTCCAGGCGGCATTTTTTAAAATACAACCATTTTTTGTCATTTCAATGCCTAGTGGAAATTCGGCATTACTTTTGCAGTAGGTACCTAAAGTCTTTCTGTAAAGAACTTATATCATAAATGTCTCTTGATTTGCTTTCAAGATTGCCTCTCACCGAGTTACTTATGTCGATGAGAAAGTGTGCAACTCGGTGATTTAAGTCTTTCAAGGTCACAGTGTTGTATGTAGTGCATATAAGTCTGGCTTTTAAGGGCTATCCATACATGAAACTACAGAAATGACCATAAATAGTAAGTACTCACCATATTCAAAAACAGAAGATTCGAAAACAGTTTAACGCCGTATGACGCTTTTGTTTTTCGCCACAGCAGAGCAATTCAAGTAGTCCAAAATTAAATACTCGTTTGACTTTGTTTTTTTTTTTTGTTTTGTTGCTGCTGCTTGAATTTATTTCTTTCTTATAGCCTTAGCAAACAGTCAGGTGCAATTGCTTTGGCGTGCGGTTGCCTGGCTAGCTAGCCGTAGAGCGACTCAGCTGGTAATATGACTCGTCGTCGCCAGCGTTTGCTTTCATATTATAATAAATGCACTTATTCCAGCCGTATATAATGATGCAAAGATAAAGCAACAACAACAAAAAAAATCACACTCGAAAAAATGAAAAGTATCCAATTGCAATTTTGCGCACAAAACTGAACGATTCGTTGAATGACTGAGTGACGACAGTCTCTTGTTTCTTTGTTGTTGTGGTGTTCGATTGACTTAATGATTAAATAACTTTGTAGTTGGCAACACTACGAAGTATAATTTCTTCGTGTTTTTTTTTAATATTTTGTACATTCTTTTTATTCACCAAAGATTTGAGTTACCGACTGTTTTCGCTTTTTAATGCGGATGTTTTTTTTATTACTTTCGTTGTACTGACTTTTTACGCGAAGAACACACCCTTCACACACACACACACACACACTGCTGTCGTTATACAAATGTATGTATGCATGAAGTTGTCATTTACTGCTGCTGTAAGTGAAAATAGTTGTAACGTATGCACTCGTATTTTTAACTCCCTACGTCAAAGTCAGGTATTTTTGCTGAAGTTTTTTCGCATTAAAAACATAACGTCAGCGCTAAAAATATAAGCTAATTTTAAGTAAATTTGCATTTGTATTTCATCAATACTTGAAACTTACATAAATGAAAGCTAAAATAAACTAATCGCTAATTTAAGGTAAATTTATTTAAAATTCTTCACGAAGTAGTGACATTTTAGGTAAAACCCCCTTTTATTATAACTTTTTTTTTGAGTAAAGCCCACACTATGCTGCGTCGTTGCATTTTTGTCTGCGTTTTGCAACTTGCAATTTGCAACAGTTGCTGCAATAAATGGGTTAAAAAGGCAGCGCAAATTGTGTGCGTACAACAAAAGCAACAGCTAAAACTGATGCGCGTACACAAATTACGCTCGCCACGCCCTCCACGCCCCTTTGCTTATTGCCTCAGATAATTTTCATTGCACTTTTTTTTTGTGTTTTTGCTCTGAGCAGTTGTTTTGGTCCGAATACCAGATTTTTTTTTTAACTGTTTCACCTTGAGTTTTTATTTTCATCGCACATTTAGCATTTAAAGCGAATTTATTGATATTTTTTAATTTATTTACATTTAATTTCTGTTTAGGTTATTTGCAATGTTTACTCGCATTGTTCGTTTCGTATTTAGAAAACAAAAACAAGTAAAAGACCAACTTAAAACTTCAATCGCACCTCATCTTACACCCAGCCAAGAGCTGTGCTAATTTTAATTTACTGTAACTGTGTATGTACATTCATGCAAAACAAATAAGCGGAAATATGCAGTTTGCCACATACATACAATCGCGCGCGTTGCAACAGCGTCAATTTTATTTTATTAGCTTGAATTGTTTAACGATCGTGCTTTGCTGTTGTTGCCACCACCGTGGCTGTCATTTGGCGAAAAATAAACACCGTTTTTGAAAGCCCTTAACATGCGACAGCACACACTTTCCCAACCGTACAATGTGACGCTCGTTTATAAACTGAAAGCCGCCGCTATAAAATCCATCCAACTACGACTTGACTCACCCGAAAGTCGCGTCGATCATATGACATGAGCTGCGGTGCTTTTGGGAGTTTTTAGCGGCGGTTAGCGAGCTTTCGGCTGGAATTAACCAGTTGTTTACTCGTTTTTTGTTGAACAGCTGTTGGGTGATCGCGCTCAGCTGCGCTCATTGATTCCGATTGCTGGCCGATCTCTTTCTCCAATCTCTTAACGCTCTTTAGCTTTTGTGTATCGTTGCAATGATAAGCGCTTTCATCAGACTGCGCTATTTGGCAATACGGAAGTGTTTGAAATTTGCAAATTATGGAAGTGGCCGTATTCCGCATAGCCAAAATAATATTCGGTAAAATATTATTAACTATTGTGTTTGACATCATTTTTGAGAAGCTTTCAAATTCAAGCATGCATTTGTCCTCTTGAATACTTTGTCTGAGTGTGATTCAATACTTGAGAAAGATTTAAATGACTAGTCTTCCGATCAGTGGGATGACTGTCCTCGTATGCCCCTATGAAACTGGTGATCCCCCTTAACCCCAATACGCTGTAGAAATAACCATACAAATTGTATTGAAAATAAAAATTGGGGGGTAACTTTTTATTGAGTTCGCTGTACGAAACAAAAATTAATGTTTTTCTAAGCTTTTTGTACAGTTTTGAACAGGATTTTCACATTTATTTTCCATATATTTTATAAAGCGTACGGCTAGGTACACATACAAAGGAATATTCAGTAGGAACTGGGGACTAAAGCCAAAGCTTGTCCTCTGCATGTACACGGCTATCATACGACCAATACTAACTTACGGACCGCTAGTTTGGTGGCCAGCATTAGAAAAAAATACAACGTCAGGAAATTAGGCAGTATATAAAAAGCAGCTTGTGCAGGTGCTACAGCAGCAATTAAGTCGTGTCCATCTGATGCGCTTACTTTGATCCTGATCCACATCCGCCAAACTGCTGCGTCCTAGGCAATCAGACTCAAAGGCTGTTGAAGACTGCTGGAGCGGCACGGTCATAGTGGCATTCTCGACAAGCTTATCGAACAGGGAAACAATCAGATTATGCGCTTCCTACGACAGACTTCAAGAAAAATTTTTCAGGTGAAGTTGAAGGAGAATTCCACCGAAATCTATACTGACAGGTCCAAAATGGACTGCGCTGTGGGTGCTGGGGTGTTGAATGTCTCTCTCTCGTTCCGACTACCGAACTTTGCCAGCATCTTCCAAGTGGAGGTACTGGGGAATCGAAAGGGCCTGTAAAGAATTAGGGAGGAGCTGCGTAGGAATCCGAAAGCACACATCTTCTCAGATAGCCAGGCGGCGCTTTTAGCATTTGCCTCACCGGTAACAAGTGAAAATGTGTGTTAAGTTCGATGGCCGAGTTAATAGACATCTCCCTCACATGGGTTCCCAGTCATAAGAACATACACGGAAATGAGAGGGCTGACGAGTTGGCTAAGGCCGGAGCATCTTTTGATGAATTCGAAGCAGAGACAATAAACTGTCCACTTGAACTCATCAAAAGGGAGCTGCATTTGCAATTCGTACGTATGGCTGATGCACGTTGAATCAACCTTAAAACCTGCAAAACTGCAAGGAACGAATGGCCGCACTATGACAAACCAAAGACAGAAGCACTTCTAAAGATGGCGAGGAAAGATATAGTCAATTTAACAGCCACGCTAACGGGACATTGGCCCATTGGCTTACATGCGGCTAAAATGGGCCTTCGGTATGACCGTAGCTATGATCTTGAAGGAAGTAAGGAAACGATCCTACACTATCTTTGCGAGTGCCCAGCACTGGCACAAATAAGGAATGACACACTTGGGAGTTTTTCCATCCAAAATATTCGGGAGATCTCCAAATGCACCATTATTAGCCCAAATAGATTCATCAAAAAATTCAAATGATTTGACGAAACTGAATCATAAAAGCAGCAAAAGAACAAGCATCCCAGAAGAAACTTATCAAAAGGGTGCTATAAGCTCTAATGTGCTCAGGCAACGCTCCTACCAACCAATCAACGGCTAATTAATTGGAATAACTTTCGTGAGGAATTTCATTCATAAAAAATTATACACTTTTTAAAAGTTTAGTGACTTTTTCATAAAATTTTTCCATTTATAAAGCATTTTCATTTTAATTGTCCTTTATGAATTTAAGATTTAAGTTTTTCGACTAGCAATTGCCCAAACGCCATTCGCCTTTTAGAGTCGAGTTGCCGTGTGTTCGATTCCTCCCCATTTTGTAGTCTGCATTTCAGGGGCAGACCACTATGCACTTCAGTTACTTCCATTCACTGTGTGTATTTAGTTTTTTTTGCCAGATCTTTTTTTTCTTTGTTTTAATTTTTGCTGCCGCAAAACTGGCCCTACAAGAATTTTCGCGCGCACGACCTTGCCAGCACATAAATTCATTGATGTCTCCATTGTGTGTCGAATTCGCTCATTTCCATAATCACGTGTGTGTGTGTGTGAGTGGCAGTGTGTGTAAAAGCAGAAATATTTTGCTTCAATGCTGCTGGATGTTGCACCACGACGATTGCTGTTTCTCGTCTTTGCCACTCTTGTAGTCCGGTTCACAGCCCAGCTAAAGAACTCGTTTGGTGTTTTCTTGGCATAAAATTTCGGAGAGTTGCTCACAGCCACTGAATTTGTGAAAGTTCTAAGAGCGAGCTTGGCTACGAAGAGAAGAAGAGGGTTGATCGAAAAATGCTTTTGTTTGGTATGCAAAATATTAAAAAAAAAAAAAATTTCCCACTGCACAGATTGCAATATTTCTTGAATTTGTTTCGATTTATTTTTGCTTAAATCACTATTAAGTATACATATGAAATAAGTAGTAATATGTTAATAAAGTACAATTTATGTTATTTAGTTACATACGTATGTATGTTGCTGATCTTGAATGTTCTGGAAATATTTAAAATTTTCCTAAATTTACTACAGAATCTTACAAGAACAAAGTGTTAAATAGGAAAAATATCAAAACGCTTGCTAACTCCTCCAACCCCGTCTTTAACCAGTCAAATGTTGACTTCTCGTTACATAGTTGTTCTTTCTTTCTTTATTTCGCAAAATGCAGACGTTTAGCACGCTGAGTAAAATCTTTTGAAGTTCTTATTTCGAACGAAGATTTCCCCTTTTGATTACAATGTTGTCATTTTATTTCTGTTACTATTATTAAGCACTGTTTAGTGTCTAAAGATACATTTTACTTTATTGACAGTTTTACTGCCATTAAATGAAATTTATGCATTTAGATTTTTCTTCGTGAACTTTTTTGATATCTCTGTTTACAATAATTCTCTTTTTTTGAATACAATAAAATTTGAATAAATTCAATAATAATGCAGTTACGTATTTAAAATACCTAGTGAATTTTAAATGTTTAGATTTTAATTGCCTTTTTCTTCATTAAAGCTGAAATTTTTAATGTTTTTAATTACTTTGTTATTTATTTATGATAATCGCATGAGAATGTAGTTTAATTTTCTTAATGTACTATGAAGTAATGAAATTTTAATTTTAATATTTTGTCTCATACTCGAATAAAAGATATAATAAAAAAGTGAATAAATGTTAAAAAAAAAAGAAACTGTGTAGCATCTGCATGCTCTTAGCCGCGCTAGTGCAGCAAGTTTACCTGCTCATAAAGATTTTCTAACACTTTAAGTCGCCAGAAGCGCGCCAAGCTATGCAAAATAAAAGTGTGAAAGCTTAGTACTGAGCTTTGGCCAAATATCAGGATCAAAAGCTTTTTAAGCACTACATATTATTCTTAGTTTGCCCATTTAGGCTTTCATGGAACATTTTAGATTTAAACTGAACATAAGCGCCTAAAACAACATTTGTGAATTACCTTAATTTGGCAGCTTTCACGTAATGAAAGCTCAAAGTTTTTTGTTTTTAAGCAATAAAATAAAGGCACAAACGATACAAAAATCTACGTGAGCTTAAATTAAATGTAGCTGCTTAACAATGAATTTATGTATTTTTAGTATTCTTATTCGTTTTCGCTTTTGCATTCTTTATCAATACAATCTTCAGTGGCAGGAAGTTGCTGAGTCTTTTTGTGTGAAGTATGCGTGTGTGCAATAAAATATGGACAAGCGTGTTATCACTGCACAAAAAGCGCAAATAAATGGACCGATTTGCAGTTAATTGGACAAAGTTGCATTAATATTTTCCTTCTACTCAGTACTTATACAGAATAATCGATTACTTCCTTTAAAACCAGTTAAAATCACATTCACAACTAATCTTACACTTTCACGCGCTCGTACCTTCGAAAACTGTTTGTGTGCGTCGAAAAAAATACCGTGCCAATATTTTTTAGTAAAATATTTCGAATCTAAAATTTTCATACTCGGATCACTTATCTACTTACAAACATGCTTTATGCAGGCGAAACTTTAATGCATCACGGTCGGTTTAGCCGATTCAAAAACCAACCAAATTTGCCAACAAGCGCAGCTGACGTCCTAATCTAAATACTACTAAGTAATCAACCATCTTACTACCCTTTAACGAGCACACTGACCGCTAGCAAGCGTCTTTCTTCGATTGTGTTTGTTTCGCTTTTCTGCGCTTTCCTACCTTTTCACTACTACCAAAATTCGCTTGCTCTACAAATTCTTCCACTGCAGAAATTTGTTTTTTTTTTGCCGAAAAGTTCATAATTTTTGCTAAAAGCAGTTTATCTCTGACGACCATTCTGTCGTGCTGATCGCCCCGTTCTATCGTGCTCTTTAGCATTTCCTACAAATAACAACAACAATTACGCTTACATTCTATAAAAATATTTCAATAGTTTGCTACTCGTGTTTTTGCTCGGCTCATTAGCCATAGATTTGGAGAATTTTAACTATCAAATTGCACGGATTTTGTTTGAGACAGACAGTGGCGTGAATTCGGGGAACAGTTCTTGGATGTGCGTGGGAGTGTCGCTGGCGGCATGTGCGTGCAAAATTAGCTGGCGGCTACCTCCGATACTGAGTTGGCGCGCCGCCTTTTAGTGATCTGCTTCCACAGTCGGCGATTAAGCGAGGGTTTATCCTGAAAATAAAATCGGATTCATTAAAAAAAGAGCAGCGGAATCGCAGCTGGTTTTTGCTTACATTATCTTTTCGCGGCGACATCTGTACCGCTAGCCGGTGGACTGGTGTGCCACTGGCGTTGGATTCGCTTAGTGAGCTCTGGGAACGGTTCGGACTTTCCGAGTTGCGTCGCTTGATGAAGTTAATTCTAAAATGGAGTGCTGTCAAAAAAGTCAGTTTTCTTGGTATTTGTTAGATTTTTTACTCACAACCGGGATCCTTTGCCCGCGTCAATGAGCGCACTCTCATCGCGTCCGATCCTTCGTACTCGGGTGTTACCGCTTTCAGTCTCCGCGCCCGGCGAAGTAGTACTCCTCGCCATCGTCGCTTGAGGACTTGTCGATGAATCCCTGCTCATCGTCGCCGCCATTGCTTCCATTGCCATTGTGGTTGTTGTCTCCATCGCCATTGTCTTCGTCTTGGCTCGTGAGCCACTCCTCAATTGAGACATGCAGTATGTCTTCTCGCGTCTCGCTAAGATTTCGAGATCGCTTAATTTGCTCTCGTCGGTGTTGTAGTTGTAGCTTTTGCTGTTTCCGCCGCCTCTTGCGCAGACGTCGCTGCTCCGATCCGCAGATGCAGAATTGCTCCATGTATTTCGATTTGGTTGCAGGGGTTGTGGAGCGCCGCCGACGCGAGCGCCACCACCCAAACCGGCTGTTAGGGAGCTGCTGGCGCTGGCGTAACTCGGACGTGGACGCCGATTCACCGTCGGTGTGTCCATCTTCGAGTTTCGCTGTTGTGAGAACGATATGACAGCCTCTTTTGGCTGAACGCGGTTCGTTGCTGAACGATTCAATAAATCGCGACCCGTCAGTCGTTGAAATGTGGAGAGGTCGTGCCTAAAAAGTGAGATATTTCAATAGTTGTAGTGAAAGGGGAAGGAAGAAACACATACCCCAGAATTGTTGTTAGATCGGGACCAGGATCGTAGCATATCAAGTCTTCGTCGCCGAGAATGTCGTGATTGAGCGCCAGTCGCATCTCTAGACGTGGACTTAAACCGGAACCAATGGGCACTAGGGCAGTGGCCGACTTTGAAGAGCTGTCGTCGCGAGTCTTTGGCACCGTTTTCGTCGCTGTTACGACTGAGGCTTTCTGGGATGCCTGTGTCCGCCGCTCCTGCTGTAACGCCTTCGTCGTCTTCGAAGCTGTTGTTGATGATGTGGAGACTGCCTTGCTGTCGCCCGACCCCAGCAGCGACGTCTCGATTATCGTTGACGATGCACGCTTTGCGGTTGTGGTAGCCGCGGTACCGGCTGCAGCAGAACGTTGACTGCCACTTGCTGGTGTCAGCTTCACTGTCGCCGTCTCCGTCGCTGCCGACGGTGGTGCTTTTGTGGTAGGCGTAGCGGTTGCGTGCGGGGCACTTGCGCTGCTTGTTGCGGCGCCGGTGGTGGCAGCCGCTGAGCAGCCAGCGTCAGCAGAAGCGCCAGAACTTCGTCGAGGTGGTGTTGGCTAAAATAGAATTTAAATGCTTGCGAAATTTTCACGATTCGAACGGACGAATACTTACCGCCTTCGTTTGACTCTCGCCACTTGTCTGCAAATTTGTTGGTGTCAGCAACAGTCGGCGCGGTGGTGGTGGAGGCGGCACGAACTTCGCCGGCCGCACAGTCGTTGTGGATACGCTGGTAGTAGTTTGGGTAGTCCCACTGGCGATGCTGCAGCTGTTGTTCGCGGTACTGGCGCTCGCGCTGCTGATTGTTGTAGAAGTCGATGAAGGAGGTTGCCTCCGTGGCGTTGGCGGCGTCTTGATCGTCCGCGTCGTCGTCATCATCATAGTAGTAGTACTCCTCATCGTCGCTTTCATCTCCAGTTGCATCGTGAGTGTCTGCTGGGATGCCGTCTCTACCTCCACTTCCATCGTCGCCAATTGCGTGGGCATTAGCGATTTCGCTCCTGCCGACGCGGCTCTCGCTGTAGGCGGGCTGCTGGTAATGCTCGTGGTGCGCAACGGCACCATTGTACGCTGTTCGAGTAGGTACTCGCAGGATGATGCCTTCAGAACAGCGACTGGCAGATGCGCGGTGTCCACTAGATGCGGAGGCTGCGACTGGGTGAACGCCTGTTCCCAACTCATCGGCCTTGACGCCGGCGGTGGAATAGGACCAGGTGTACGTGGTGCCCTCGCTGCGTTCGGTTCGATCGGTATCCGCATCGACTTCGCGGCCTCTTCCTCCTTCCTCAGCTCGTAGCTGTCCTCGGTCGAGAGATCCTCGTCGCTTGAGCTTCCAGCTGAATCCTTTAAATAGTGGCCATTTGTCGTTGTTTCCCCCTACCAATTGTTGGGAATAGAATTCAACTAATCAATTCTGGTTTAAGGCGAGTTATAAGTTTGTTGTGGTAGGTGTGTATTTGGCTCTGGAGAGTCGTGAATGATGGGTGAGCAGGTGTTGTTTTGTGGTGCAGAAAGACTGCCAATGGAATGATTTTTAGTAGTGTGGGGCTTGATGATTAGTTTAAATATAATTCAAGCTGAATGGTGGGTGTTAGTTTTTAATGTTGCAAGCGGATATTAGTAATAGATTTAATTAGTATTAGTGCTTCTGTTTTGATTGTATTTGTAAGAGACACGTACTGGTGGGTGTGCCAGCAGTTTTAAATGGTTCAGCTCTTAGTATTTTTGGTAAGTTGGAAGTCCGATTAAGTTTTTGGGGAGTTTGCGGAAGCCGAATCCGATAATCGTTTGTGGTTTTTTTTTGTTTTAATTTTGGAGTGTTAGTAGATGATATTAGTTGCTTGTGTTGGTTTTCATTTGGTTCTTAGTATAATGTATTTTGCTATTTTTGTAGTTGTCATCGCGGACAATTGCCTCGTCACAAGTGGCGAAGAGCAAATGTCATTTCTTGATCTGTATGTATTGGCAATGTTGCAAGCTGTGCTAGAGCTTCACTAGTCGCACTACGACTTTCTAGAATACCAAAACACATACACATACATACGTACATACATACACAAAACATATTGAGAACGTGGCGTATTGCCAACATGGCAAAATGGCAACGTGAGTGCATACATCAATGGGCAACAGAAAGCATGAAGAATATGAAATATGAAAAGAAACAAAAATAATGGAGAAAGGAAGAAAGAAATTGAATGAAAGCGAACACGATTTGCGATGAATTGTAATGATTAGACTAATAAATCGTGATAACAGTGTTAGATATGTTAGACATTTGCAACGAATAATAAGAAATACTAGCCAACTATTTATAGTAATAAAATTGCGAGGAAATCGAAAATTTCAAAAGCAGTAAAAATGTGATCTGAGTAAATTAAAGTTTACTTCAATCAATACGTAAATAATGAGATAAAGGAAACTTCTTCAATTGGGTTCGAGAATTGTGCATGCAAACGCGAAAAGCCGACCCACCTTTTTGACATCTTCACTTTCCTGTTGGGTCTTCTCTTCGTCGCTTTCCGTCTCCTCCTCGAAAAGTGGTTCTAGGCGACGTCTATGGCGTTGATGAATGGATATTTTATTTGATATGTAAATTGATGATATCAAAATGATGTAAATGATGGCAATTACAATCGAAAAAAAACAATGAGAATTAAAAGCTAGTGATCGTCTCATTACACTACGATTAAAATTCTAAAAACTAATATTAATCATGTATAAAATCGATTACTTCTACTGAGAAGACTTCGAAAGAGATCGCCTGGAAGCCAAATACTCGTATTAAATAATATTTACTACACCTGATATGTATGTAGAAAGTTAGGATAAAATACTTCAAAAGGAAAATTGTAAATATGTGTATAAATATATTCGAACTTTAGTACTTCAAATTATCTTACCAATAACAAGTAAAATCTTCTACATTTCTAACGGTACCTGTCGATGACTTTAATCGTCATTAATAGAAAAACGTACACAGTAAAAGTTTCTGTTATATATTACTTTCTACTCCAGTTTTCGTTAGAAAAATTAGCACTAAAACTACATCATTGTTTTTTTTTATAAATACTTGTAAATTATTTCTCTGCTAAGTAAACTAATATCCTTAACCTCAGCGCTTATGCCAAAATAACTTGCATTGCGCTTCTACTTACCGCGGCAATAGACCTCGGATTGTACTGGCCGTCATTGGCGGAGCCATAAGCAACTCATCCATCATTAGCTCCGTATCGTCATCATCATTTAGTGAGTTGCTCGATTTAGTTGGCGACTAAAAAGCAGTGATGCATTCAATCGTTATAATCACAACTCGAATAAACTCTGCCAGTTCTCTTACCGAGTACGTATTTTCGGAGTTCATTAGCTGCATATCGTCGTTGTCGCCACCGCTTGTTGGTGTACCCCACACTTCTTCGCCGGACGTTGCGCCCGAGGTGCATTCGTCTGCTTGTTCGTCGGTTTCGGAAGTTGTGGCCGCGGTCGACGATGTTGTCTGGTCTTGGTTCCATCTACCCAAGTATTTGTCGATAAATGCGCGCGACTCTTCGAAAAACGACATCTTGTTACCACCGGCCAGCCCACTTGTCCGACTTGTCCACACGCCGCCTACTAGCACACATGACCCGCCGGCCACCTCCTCGCTGGTG